CTCTCCCACTTCCACCCTCCTCTACACACAGCCACAAGCAGTAAAATAAAACAAGGGAAAGCATCTTAATTTCTGAAAGGTGAGGGCCAAAGATATTTGTTCTTTCTTACATTAGATCATCTAAATCATCCATTGTGGATGTTCTTGAAACAAAGACGTGGCTGATTTTATCTGACTTAATTGCTGCCTATGTATCATCATTAACCTTTGTGCCTCATCTTACTGACTCGCTCTCCTTGTTATCAGTTTTCATAACTTATGCTAGAACTATGGTATCAGGATCCTGATATGTTGGGATGGGGTGACTCATTCAAAGTGAATTCTTCATTTAGAAGTAGTATGAAACTGTGTCCTAGAAAATATTTACGGACACATGCTGAAGTTCAGAGGCCACTGAATTCTATAAAGCTAGAAGGAAGGAGAGAAAAGAGATAGTACCAATGACAAAAAAAACAGAAGTCCTTCACAAGTTAAAAAGCTTCACTGGTTGCTTAATACTGCTAAATGCACGTAGTTTTAATGCTAGTGAACTCCTCCTGTTCAATTAGCCAGTCAGCAACTGAGAAAAATCTTGTTGACCTCAAAGTAATTGCATTGCTAAGGGACTAGAGATGTGAACTCTCACCTGTCTTTTTTTCCAGAGAGTGTTCCAGTATAGGTGAGCAACTATTAGACTTCAACACAACAAGCCAGCAGAATAAAGGACAGTTTCATCACAATTATAGATAATTTGGAGCCGTTTCTGTATAAAGAGCATGTTCATTATGCTACTTGAAACATCATACTTCCTTGGCACAAATGAGCACTCAAACTGTTCCGAGTATGGACTCAAAATACTTCCTATACCAACATGTTGTTGTTCAGTCATTAAGTCGTGTCTGACTCTTCGTGACCCCATGGACCAGAGCACTCCAAACCCTCCTGTCTTATACTGCCTCCTGGAGTTTGGTCAAATTCATTTGGTAGCTTCAATGACACTGTCCAACCATATCATCCTCTGTCATCCCCTTCTCCTCTTGCCTTCACACTTTCCCAACATCAGGGTCTTTTCCAAGGAGTCTTCTCTTCTCATGAGATGGCCAAAGTATTGGAGCTTCAGCTTCAGGATCTGTCCTTCCAGGGAGCACTCAAGGTTGATTTCCTTCAAAATTGATAGGTTTGTTATCTTTGCAGTCCAGGGGACTCTCAAGAGTCTCCTCCAGCACCACATAGAAGGGAGGTTTGTAGGTTTGTGCAATCATCCCCATTTTACAGAAATTAGGCTGGGCTGAGGTGTGTGAGAGAGCACAATACTAATCCAGGGCTTTCCAGAGAAGAATACCATGTGCTAGAGGCAATTTATTCACACATTCTAATCAGTCACAACTGTAAATAAAATCCACAACTGCAAGTTCACAGTTGACATCCTCTTGTGTAAAGGCACACTATGAGGATCAGGGCCAGTGCCAATGATGTGGTGGTGATTTTTGGCCATGAAAACATTAGGACTAATTGTGGGACTAAACCTGACAAATAAAGATTAAGAAAAAACTTCCACCTGAATCTGTCTTAAAATGCTTTAAGTTGATTGAATTAATGTCAATGTCAGTTCAAAACCTTGGCCTTACATGACAAAAACATGGAATCTGATTTAGCATGATGACAATGAGCCACAGTGAGAATGGGGTCCACAACTTCCATCTCTCTTCTGATAAAACTTCAAAGAGGAGTGTGGAATTTTTGTTAACTGCAATTGAACATGTCTAAACTGTAAGCTAATGGTTTTCTTTAAATATATGTCATCCATTTTCTCATGTTTGTCGTCTACTCTAGGTGAAATATCAGTCACTATTAGAATATAGGCAGCAGGCACGTTTCTTGTGTAAGCTGTTCAAACTGTTGCCACTGTGTGCTGTTACAAGTCACAATACTAAATTACCTGATTGCAATATTTACTAAGTGGTGATAAGTAAACCTCTTGCAATTGGATAATTTAATATTGTTACTTGTAACAGAACACAGCTGCAACAATTTACAAGTTATTTACTTATCACCACTCAGTAAACAGCTGTTGAAAACTTCAGTGTTCTTAATTTCTTCTAACTCTCCTATCTTGGGTGTTGTAAAAATCTTTTAATAGTGGAATAATGGAACAGGGTTTTTTCAGATTTTGAGTGCAAGCTAGAAAAATAAAGATAAAAATGAAATAAATTCTAAAGAATTCCATTGGTCTAATATAAACTATTCTTGTTTTGAACTCAAGTTGGAGACCTGAGGAACAAGTTTTGGAGAGGAAACTGTGATATCTATCTTATCTGTGTGATGCATGTCGCAGTAGTATCACCTGGTAATGTTTTGTACTAAGCTGAAATGGAGTCCATGTTGGCAGGTCTATAATTGGACTAGACCAAAGCTATTTTTGATTTAATCTTTCAAGTTGTTTTCAGATCTCTGTATCTAGAAGTTATCACTGTGTGGACAAACAGAGTTGAAACATCAATCCATGCTTCAGTTAGGTCTCAGACTGGTGATATTCCCACTGTATCAAGTGAAACTAATACTGTTAAAACAGCTTTTTTCTGGAACTCTTTCTTAAACATAAAGATTTACATAGTGATAATTTCCTGTGTTTTCCTAGCACTTTTAATAAATATGTTTGTTATATGATATGGATTATCCATGCAAGGGTTATCTTTGTCTTGAGACATGAAAAACAACATATTAATTTTATTATTTCTTAAACTCTATGGTACCTGTTTGGAGACATCTGCTTTCTCATTTGAAAAGTACTACATTTCTGGGCTAAAATCCTCTCATGTGAAGTTATGCCATATAAGCCAGATGATGTTATTATCCAGCAATGAGAATATTTGCTTTAAATTAATTGAATGCTTCGAAGCCCCCCGTTTCAGGCTCTAAAGCTCTCTAGGGCTGTAGCACTAACTCTTCCTTTTTGCCTTGGCATAACTTGTGGAAGCCAACTGCCACAACTTGAGAAATTACCAGTCGCATACTGAGACAGACAATATAGTATGCATCTGACGATGTCTGCGGCAATTTCTTAACATGGGGCAAGAAGCCTCCAAAAAGTTACGCTATTTTTGTTAATGGCAGCACAACTAGGTAGTTGGGCTTGGGTCATAACCACTCATGACTTAAGAAGGCCACTCACAAACAGGCACACAGTGACACTTTCGGTGAGATTGCTAGGGTAAGAAGCAGGCAATGGTCACAGGATTCTGGCAACCATAGTCCAAAAACACAAATTTGCGCACCTCTAGCCATTCCTCATCTGATTCATGGCAACACACTCAGAGGGGAGCAACTACTCCCTCCTCTCCCCTCATCATTCTTTTCAGGGGGAAAGTGACATCTCTGAAGAGGGGAAGGTTTCTGTTCACAGGCAGGCACTATGCACAACCTTGGTAAATGAGAGTTCTTGCTTGTGCAGAAAGCGGACAGGCCATCATGATCATCTTGGCTTCAGATACATCACACCCCATCTGGAGAAAACTATGATGAATGAGCCAGGCCCTCCTCTGTAAGTGCATTGCTGAGGACTAGGAACGTAAAGGCTGTACAAGGAGTTCTGTCCTTTTTAAAGAACTATTTGATGCTATGAGTTCACACCTGAAGAAACTCACACAGAGACAGAATGCTTCACCCTATGTTAGCTTCCACCTGTCCACACAGCTGATGGGGATGACTGGATAAAAGAGGCATCCTGCTCCTGGTGAAAAGGGCTTCTGGGGAAAGGTGCCCATCATGTTTCCAAGCTCCAGCATCAAACGGAAAGAAGCCAGATGCTACCTGGATATGACCTTTGGTATAGAAGTAGAAGAGGTACCCACCTGAAAAAAACAAAATCCTAGCAAAATGCATACAGGACCAAGCTACATTTAACTACAACACAGCTAAGGCTACTTGGCCTCTGTAGCATGGCAACACAATCATATTTTCTAAATGACACAGTAAGTGCATCTATGCTAGTAGTTTCTGCTTCAACCTGTGTCAGTCCATGTTAGAAAGTTCAGTTTCAAATAAAAATCTGGCTGAGGCTAGAAACTAAGCAGCAAGACACAGCCCACCACCACAGCCGAATCTGAACTACCTGCTACAGGTACGGCCCACCCACAGCAATACTTCTTATTTGAAACCACTCTGTGCTTATTCAGGTCAGCTTGCTCTCCTTCCAGCTGTAGCACTAACTCTGAAAACAAGGAGTTTGTTATCTTGAAACATAATTTGCATTCTTCTTTGTATCCTTCTTCCATCCCTGCCTCCCACATTGCCATTAAAATGTTCTTTCCAGAAAATAAAGAAAGGTCTGAAAGCTCCCAAGGATTCCTTGGGAGGATGAAAGTACTGTAGCAGGGAAGGTTGGAGGCTCCTGAACTTGCCAAATGACTTGAAGTGTGAAGAAGACACTTGCACTTCCTCCTAAATATCTTCCAGGGCTTTTCCCCTAGGGAGAGCATCCAAAAGCAGCAGAAGCCCTGGACATACTGATAACCAGCTCTTTGTAAGGTGCAATGCATTCTCTGCACTTTTACAGGATCCCAGCCAGTTTGCTGCATTCACCTGGGCTAGGAGAATGTGACCTGCCCCCATCTGCAATCCGGGCAAGGCACGGCCCTTGCACCAACCGTGGGGGACGCTCAAAGGACACAGCCTCGATCCCCTTTCCAACATCCTCCCCGGCATCCTCTCTCTCACTCTCCCGTTTGACAGAAAGGAGGACAGCCACCACCCCATAACTATCAACAGGGCCAGCCCACCACCCCACCTCTCCTGGAAGACCCCGTTGCCTCTGCGACCCTGTTCGGAGGTGCCTTCCCTGAAGCCCTCGAACAACCTTCCTCCCGAGGCCTCCACCTCCTGCTTCTCATGCTTCTCCCACCCCCACCCCCGACGGGGTGATGCGAGTCCAACGTCCCCGGTTTCCTCTCCGTCCAGCACCACCACCACCACCCCCGATCCTCGCCCCGGTGCCTGCCCGCCTCTTTCTCTCCCTCGCTCACCGCCGCGTTGCGCGCTGTGCTTCGCCGGGAGCCCGTTGTTGTAAGGCACCCAGATCTTCTGCAGGGGGTTCTGTGTGAGTTCTCGAGCCGGCGACGCCGCCATTCTTGCATCGGGGGGGCTCGATCCCGGCTGCAGGCTCGCCTGATGCAACCGCGGAGCGCGCGCCGCCGGGCAGATCCGGGAAAGCGCGGCGCCGCTGCCTCTGCTGTCTCCGGCCGGCCGGCTGCCCGGCTTGTATTCGGGGGGCGTCTCGGCGGCGGAGGGAAGGTGGCAAGACCACCTGAGGGCGGAGCCTGCGAGGAGACCCCGCCTCCTCAGGCGAGCGCGGAGTGCAAGTTGCGGCTCAGATACACTTAATTGGGGCTTACTCCTGAGTAGACGTGTATAGGATCATCATGACCTAATCCCTCTTCTATTTCACCAATAGATACAATTCCATCTTTTTCTGTTTGGTTTTATTACTCTTCTGTACAGTGTGGGAGTGGGCGGCCAGCTCCCGCAGAGCCGGCGGCGGCGGGGTGACCTGAGGCTGCGGCTAGAGAAGGAGAGCGCCGCTGCCTTTAATAGGATGGGAGCACGATCTGCACTGGGGGGGGGGAGGCACACACACGACCCAATGCCCCGAGGGGTGTCCCGTCCCCCCAAGAACAAGGCTCACTCTGTTCTGTGAGACTGCTCGCATTAAAGGCTAACACTTTATTTTGGTGCGAGCTTTCCTCTGACAGAACCCACTTCATCAGACACATCAAAAGCTGTTGGCCTCCTAAGGCGCCGTAAGAGTCGCTGTTTTTGCCCCTCTGGGAGTGGACTCTTAATTCCTTTTGTGCGTGTTCTGTGCTGTCAAGTCAGAATCGAATTATACTGCCCCTAAGAGAGGTTTCACTCCAGTTCCACTAGCCCAGGCAGTTTCCATGGCCCAGCGGGAATTCGGACCGGGTTCTCCAGAGTCCTACACAGTCACAGTGCCCACTACACCACACTGGGAATTAACCGCTTTACCTCCCTGTTACTGCTTTTATCAAGTTTAGGATATATCTATCCACTTCGGTTATATCGGTCCATTTCTAGCAGGGGGGTTATAGTTAAGAAAAAGTCAAGGGAGTTCCCCCCCACCTTAAAAACTCCGGGAGCTGCAGTTTTGCATAAAAACAGGAATATGCTGGGAAGGCCCTTAAAAGAGTCAGGGTAGGGATGAGTCTTCCAAACAGAGGGCTCCTGGAGGTCATAATGAAAAGGCATGGACTAGAATCCTTTTGGAGTTTATGTTCGCATAACTCAGTTTACACAAATCATAGTAAAGCTTATGGAATTCCCCTTAGGCAACTGTAAATTGGCAATAGAAATCTGACTACAGTATTCCTAATGCATTTCTTTGGTAAGAAAAAGAGAAATGGAATAAGGTGATACAGTGGACCCTTGACTTACAGACTGCTTGACTTACAGACTTTTTGAGTTACAGACTTCTCTGGCCGCAAAATTTAGGTTTGACTTGCAGACTGAGATTTGACTTACAGACCAGAAAAAAACCAAAATGGAACAAAAATGGCCTGTTACGGGATTAATTGGTTTTCAATGCACTGTAGGTCAATGGAGACTTGACTTACAGACTTTTTGACTTGAGAACCGCCTTCCAATACGGATTAAGTTCTCAAGTCAAGACCCCACTGTAAACACAGGTAACACTATTGTATGCCTAATTACTATATACAAATGTGAAAGCTGGCCAGTAAAGGGGGGGGGGTCAATTTGTTCAAAAGAGAGCTTTACAGATACCAGGGACCACAACCAAGACAAACAAGTGAGTACAAGATCAAATTGAGCCTCAGCTTTCTCTGGAAGCAAAAATGACAAAGATTGTCTTCTCATGACGTGCCCAAAGTATAAGATTTCCTGGGGAAGACCATAATGCTGGGTAAAGTCAAAGGCAACAGGAAAAGAGGAAACTCAGATGTGAGATGGGTTGACTCAATAAAGAACGCTACTAGCCCTGATTTTTCAAGAGCTAAGCCAGTGCTGTTAATGATTAAGACATTTTGGAAGTCACTCATTCATAGGACTAGCATAAGTCAGAAGCAACCTAACAGCATGTAATAACAACATGCAGAAGGGTTGCAAACTGAGGACAAAATTGGTTGATTTCCCATAAAATTCAATGAATAATTCAGTAAAATGACATAATAAAAGCCCTGCCTGGAGGAATCCTTTCTTGCTCCCAAAGGACCAAGCAAAAACAGGCAACACTGTTACCTAAGACATGCAGGTCTGCCTTTAAATTAGTACATAGTATCACTTAACACTGCACAAAGGACTTTCTCACATGAGAAAATCCAGGATTGGCTTGTAGTCTGAGGTGCGTCTTCCTTCACTTTTTGGAGTTTATGTTCCACTCCAGTCATGTACTCATCCTACACAACAGTTTCATCACATGATGTTTCAAATGTGAGAAACATGGAAGAAAATTCCACTTTGCAGACACAGAAAATTTGTGCAACATTGAATTTTCATGAAATTTTAAGACAGAAACATGTGGCACCTTAAAACAAAGTTACCACTGAAACAGGGTTTTGAATATGGCATAAATCTAAGCAATCAAACTTTTCCTCTAAAATTCATATTCTGAAACACTGAACTGTGCACCCACTAAAGCTCATACCTAATAAAATGATTTAGTTTTTAAGACATCACAAAACTCTTTGTTTTTGCAGCCATAGACTAACACAGCTACCGCCCGCTAATACAAATGACTCAATGTTTTCTCCCCTGCAGCTCTCCCCTGACCCTACCAGGAGGGACAAACAATTAAGGAACATGGCACCTCTGACCACATGTTCACATCAGCCCAGTGTTATTCTACAATGCAAAACCGAATACTTTACAATGGTAAAATCCAAAGAAACAAAAGCAAAAAAAGACAGAAAAACACGTGGCACCTTAAAGACTAACAATTAGATCTTAATGTGAGCTTTCGTGGGCATGTCCACTTTGTCAGACATATGGAAAGAGAATGAATGAAATTACACTAAAATATAATAGTCTTTAAGGTGCCACATGTTTTTGTCTTTTTTGTTTTGCTTTGTTTCTTTGGATTTTGACTATTGCGCTTGCACAGACTAACACAACTATTTGTTCTAAAGGTTCTAAGTGCAACAGCATCTGGAACAGGACAGATGCCCATCCCTACTTTAGAGTAAGACAATTATATGTTGCTGTAAGGACATAATAACTACAAGCCACATCTCCCCCCTCTCTCATTTTTCCTTATTTTAAAGTAAATGTTGGGAGTCTATTCTGGATCAGACCACTAGTGAATCAGATAAGGGCTTTAAACTGAGGTCCTGATATGGATTGGGCTGCAAGCACCTAACATGCACAGTGTGAAGGAAAGACACCTAGGCTATTAGAATTAGAGGCACCATGCCTCTGAATAGCTTGCCCTGCGCAACAATGCAAAGAAAAGATTACTGCTCACAGCTCCTGCTTGCGGGATTCCTGTAGTCATCTGACAGGCTGCTAGTGAAACAGGAAGCCAGATGAAAGAGGCTTTTGGATTGGCCCAGCAAGGCCAATTCACTGCTGTACCAGAAATTGGTACAGCAGTGGACCGCTTTCATATTCTTTTACCATTCACAGTGGGGAGTGGAGAGGGTTATTAAAACTAAGACCATTTCTATGAGTTACTGGCTCTCCCTTGCTGAATAACAGATTGGTAAGAATTACCTGTATGGGAGGAATTCAGCCTATCTGGGACTTAGGAAAAATACATTACAGAGACTTTGTTAGCTCTACTTGCTAAATCCCAACAGGATGGAAGCAAAGGAGACTGCCTAGTTCAAGGTTACAGGATGGTGGGAGTACTGTGAAATACCTGGGGGAAAAAGCAGCTGAAACCAGCACTGCCCTGCCTACTCTTAAGGCAGCCAATCAGATATACGCTATCAGGGAAAGGGAAGCACAGAGAGAAAAAACCTGACATTCTGCTGCAAAGCAACCAGGATATCAACCGGTAGATCCTGATCCTAATTCACCCAAGGCTAATAAGAATAAGAAACTGTAAACACGCTAGGAGAAAAAAAGACTTTTAAAGAGAATTGTGCAACTACCAAGTAAGAAGTATGCTCTTTCACCAAGAAACTTCCATAATTGTTTTAAGTGCATGTCTTGCATAAATCTTGATTTCTAAAAATAAGGAAAGATATAGTTCATAATTTTATTAAAAATTCATGTTCAGCAATCTCAGAGACCTAGAGGCACAGTGGATATGAGATGCAACTTAAGTCAGTTTCTTGAGGTTGATTACCTCCTTAGACCACTTCATTTAAAAAAACCTGTTCAAAACTATAGCACAGAAGGATAAAACTCCAATGTTGCACAACAGCTCCAAACAGAGCACAAGCTTTTGTAGACAAGTTTGTGTTGCTATCAGAAGAATGAAATGAAGAATAAATGTGTGTGCATGACTGTCTGTATGTGAACAAATAATTACTAGGTGGGGATCACTCCACAAGACTGTGTTTTGCAAAAGACAAGAGCAGTCTGCATGTGGAGGTACAACACTTGGATGCATTCATTGTAATTAACAACATTAAATCAGAAGTACAAATAATATATCTCACTTCATTTGGCAAATAATGCCATTCCTACAGTCACAATTCTCAGGACACCCCTCTAGAGCCATCAGCCTTTCACAATGGGGAAAAAAAGTCTGTTGAGAGCCATCTCTCTTTCAGAAAGTCACATACAAGCAGGCACAGAAGCCTGAATAAACTGGTGGGTTCTCAGAATCTTAGATGGTGACTCTGGGAGCAAGCAGTGTCTGCCTGCCTGCCTGCCTGCCTACCCTGATGGGCATAAATCAGCAAAGTTTGCCAACTGTTTCAACTCAAGCAGATACTTTATAGCAATCACTGATGGAGCAAAGGAATTGCACTTAGTATTGTGTCAGCCATGTCTTGATGCATGATAGCAACCTTTAAGGATTGCTGCACTTTGGCTTCTGAAATACATCAGTTTGGGCCTGAATATCACTCATCAGATTTGGTTTGGGAAACCATTTCAGCTCTCCAGAAAGCCGCCTGATTTAGACAAACGTGGATGTTGTTAACAGGTCTAAGCCCAGAAACAGGATTAGGGAATCCAAAGCTCCATATTTTCTACTAATTACCATAGGAAATCCACAAATGACTAATTCTTTTTGTTTTTGACAGAAATGAACAAAGAAACACTTCAGAGGGAATGAAGGGTCCACAGTCCTCAGAGAAATGGGGTTTTGTCCTGTTGTGACAGAATTGGACAATGTTTGTCAGCACTGTTGCCCTCTCTGCACGGAGAAAAGCCC